TTGTAGCGCTTTCGTTTTTGTGGCCCGCCTCGGACTTTATGGGCATGCCCATAAAAACAAATCAAATGCTACCAGCCGCCGGCTAAGGATGGCCAGAAGAGTACGACGAGCAGGACGAAGCGAAAAGGAGGCAGAAGGAAAGAAGTCAAGTCACAAGCCAGCAAGTCGCACTCACTTAATGGCAACATTTTCCGGAGCTAGGGATAACACATACATACATAATAAGCTCCATGCATGCACGCGACTACCGTGGTGTACACTTAATATTGGCAGCAGAGCCACAGGATCGGTTGTGGTGGCGGCTGCTACTGCCACCGCCACCGCCTCTGCACCGAAGTGCTTAAAATAAATGCTCGAGCCCAAAGCGCCAAGCTACAAAGCAACAAAGCAGCAAAGTTGTGCATTATTCAATTAACTGAAAACATGCAAATGAAAACTTCAAGGCGACAAAGCCTCAGGGCCAAACGCACTGCCAATGGGGGCGCGCTGCAAACGGGAAAACCGCAGGGAGCGGGCGGAGGTTCCAGGCTTCCTACAGTGACACGAAAATATTCAATTTTTAAAACATTTTAACTGTGGTTTTCGAAGCAGTCTTAATTTAATAACTTTTTATTGCTTTTCCGATTAACACTTTACGACTATTTATCTTCTACGATACTTGTTATTACAGTTATACTATGTACTTTGAAGAGCAAATATACTGTTTCTCTTTAAATTATTTAAATTACTTATTAATCTTTTGTTGAGTAGAGTAATATCAGCATAATTGGAGATACATTGTATCTTTTAGTTGATATAATAGAAGAAACATTTCAGATAGCTATCGATTGGATTACGCGAAACTGTTGAGAATGGTTTTAAGCCATATATTCTACCAATAATTGGGAGACTTCCCATAAACCATTCTAAGCTCTATAATGTATTAAACAGTGTAGATGGGAAACATTTACATGCGGTATGAGGGATAGGTAGGCTAAAACGTTGAAGGTGGCCGACAAGATAATGGCCACTTTTTGTCGATGTATGTACATATATGGAATCAAGTGCATAGAATTAAAAAAAAACGGTCGGACGAGAGTGTTGTCCTTCATTAAAAAATCAAGAAAACGATATCCCATTTAACACAGAACTGTTCCCGTAATCACTGTATTCAACACATTTGGTCCACAGTGGCATTTACCTGTTTGCAGAAAAACAGAAAACTAAAAATGATTAGGTTATAAAATTGATTTGTTATTGTATTGATCACATTAACTCAATTTATTTTGAACGGGAAAGGTTGTAAATAAAAATAATTAATACCAGCTTTATAACTTAAGGGTTAAATGATCAATAATAGCAAGTTAATTAAGCCTTGAGTGCTATGCATCAAATACATTTGAATGGGTACACTGCCATTTCAGATCTTTGTTAGGTAAATGAGTGAATATATTTGTAAGTTGTGCCATTTGTTCTACAATTATGGGCTTTTGTCAAACGAATAAATTCAGAATGCACCACTGTTCATTAGAGGGGATTAGGGGGTCCTGCTGCTGTTTCCATGCATACATAATTGTGAGACTCTAAAGCGAAACTGCGCAAAATATTTCTAATTATTTTCTCACAAAGCTAGAGCAGTTGCTGGTCGAACGAAGAAGGGAAGCGGGAGGGCAGAGCAGAGAGTTGGTTGGAGCACTCGACCAGCTGCCAAGTTGCCCCGAGCAACGCCGACAGCATTTGCCTTTGAATTTGAGCCCCGGATGCGTTTGGGAGCGAGCGAGCGGTGCTTAGTCAACTATGCGTGTATATCAGAAGTATGAAATGCAATAATGTAATGAGTAATTGCGTCGGCCAGCGTAATAAAGGGACGGCGTGCAGTTACGCAAAAGAAAGAGCGCGCAATGAAATCTGGTAAGGATAACAAGGATGTTGGCAACGTGCAGCGGTAGCAGCGGCGGCAGCGGTTATGGCTGCCATGATTGCGCACGCTGTGTGCAGGCGTTTGTTCGCAAAAGTTGTCAACGACAGCAACTAAAACAAAGGACAGCACGACAGAATGTAGCATGAGGCAGGAGCAGCCAACCACTCAACCAGCCAGGCAACCATCCAGCCCTACAGTTATTCTGGCTAGCGTTCATGCAACGTGGTCGCAAAAGTTCAAGCTGCGCTCACGCGTTTATGCCGCGTGACTTCAGCTGGCTGCCGGCTACTGGCCTGGTCTACACTCGTATTTATAAACTGTATATATATTTTTATATATGTATATGGAAATATATATACATGTGTGAGTTTGTGTCTGTGTGTTTGCGCCTCGTGCCAGCACAACAACCAAAAAGGATATTAATTTCCCAAAGGTGCCGTTTTTGTAGCGAAAATCACGCGTCGCTTCGCGTAGGGTTTTCAACAGGCGGGGGCCTGTCGCCAAAAAACAGCACAGCATTGGCAACAGCAACAGCAAAAATAAAAATTAAAAATAAAATGCACGCACACACAAATTAAAAACTTTCAATAGCAACCATTTTTATTTAAAAATTCAACGCCATGCGCAGGGACAGCAAATGGCGATAAAGGACAAAAATGTTGATGGGTAGAGGTGAGGGAAGAACAAATGGGCGGGATGACTGGACGCGCGATGGTCGTGAGTGGGAACAACGCTTCAGAAAACATAATTTTTGCTGGCAATTAAAATGTCGGTGGCAGGATCGAAACGAAATGGCCTAAAGAATTATACTATCAAAATTACGAATTCGAAACTTGTACACGGAAATTCATCTTAATATGGGAAAAATGATTTGTTTCCTATATTGGTAAACTTTGATTATCATAAAGTTTTCATTCAAAAGAGATGAATAAAAACGTATGTAATTGAGATTGGGGAGATTCAAAACGTATTAACCTTGCAACAAAACAAAAAAACAAACATTAACAACATTACCTTAAATACGTGAACGCTATCTTATAAAACCACAATTTATTTATACGCATCAAATCTTTTTTACGAAGACCTGAGGCTTCTACGTCAGCTGTAGTAGTAGCCTTCTATTTGGTCTTTGTGGTTTGAACTGCGATCTGAACCTTCGATTGCGTCTCTACTCAAGCAGACTTCTGCTCATTAAGAGAGGAGAACTGTCCTTGAAGTTATCTTAGATGTAAAAGGGCCATCTACAAGTGCATCATCGTCTTGACATGGAGTTCCAGATTTAAGGATTGGCTACACCGTCGAGCCGTTTAATAAAGCCTTACAGACAACTACAACTTGGTAGTTAAGTTATGGCCATTTACGCACTCTGTTGCTCTAATATTTAATTAAAAAATTTTTTTTTAATTATCAGACAATTCAATTGTAATTAAAAAGTTGTGTTTGTCGACATAAATTTAAAAAAAAATCATCTGATATGGTTAAAATTAAGGTACATATATATTTTAATATAATCTAGAACTACCTCAACGGAATTCGGTTGAGAATGCTTTAGAAACATAAAATCAGCTGAACAACAAAAACATCCAAATATTTTCTTCTTGTCAAGAATATATATACGAAATCGCTTCTTTCTTTCCGATACACCCTTTCATCATAAAGTAATATTAGCGAAATTCACTTTTTCGGAGATGTTTTAAATAAACACTAAATTTGTACGATTTTTAAAAGGTTGGGTCTTTCTTCAGTTTCGTGGAAAGGAAAATCCAATGTCTCAATAAGTATAGACTCTCTTGTTCGGACACACAATTTTAAGTAGACACGTTTAGTGCAGGAAACAAAATATACAAAATATAAGAGTTTACGAAAAATGATCACAGGCAATTAAAAAAAAACTATTCACAGACTTTTATAAAATTTTTGATTTATTAGTTGATCTTTGTAATATCAACTGCATGTGAATAATGGAACAATTTTTAACTATTTATAAGTGCTTGTAGCACGGCAATGCTGCCTAATGAAAAAATTAAATCAATTATGTCTTCACTTGGTTATTTTATGTAAAATCCTTCCATACAAGTATTCAGGCGCATTTTCAGTTTTTGCAGCAGTTATCATTACGAAAACAAAATTGATAAATCAGTTCATTCTCATGAAAGAGTATTTAGAAACAAGTTCGTTGCCAACAATCGATATAGTTGGAATCCGGTCTAAAATGATAAAGCATTGTTCAAAATATGTATTGTAAGCACAAAAATTGCAGCGAGCTATTAGGAGTACGCTCAAAATTGCGCGCTATAATTAAAACGATGTGCACACACACACACATACGCACACACACACGTACACGCACACACATGCACGCGAATATGCGTACAATATTTTGACCAAAACAATATCGATGCTTTTCTGTTATTGCCGTTACTGTTGTTGCTGCTGCTGCTGCTGCTGTCATTGTTGTTGTTGCTGTTTGTTAGCTGCCAGCATTTCATTAGAGTGCCCGAGGCCAAACCGCGGCTGAAACCAACACATACACAAATAGTCTGAAACACTAACACTCTGACAGCCATAGGGTGAGATAAGATAAAAGCTGATTACTTGCTGTTGTTACTTTTGTTGCTTTTTCCGCTGGTCCTGCAACCAGTGACAGAGATAGGGACAGGGATAGGGACGGGGACAGAGACAGGGACAGGGACCATGGACGTTGGTCGTTCAAGTTGGGCGTTGTTTTACGCTTGTTTTGCACGCGTTGCAAAAATCCAAAGCATGTCCTTTGGCAAAGGGATAAACTACAACAACAACAACGGCAATGAGGACGTCAGCAAAACACAACAGCTGTTGGCGCAAAACAGCGATGGACAGGCCACAGAGAAAACCCGGAGAAGCATGGAGAGAGACAGGGGCGATAGAGGAAGAGAGAAGGGCGCTAAAGTCCCACAGTTTGCTGCCAACTCTTAATTTTACACGCTCGCCGCTGGCGATGGCAGCAGCCACGCCCCATGAAAACGGCAAAACTATGGCTTTAAAACTTAATTAAGCATGTTGGCCAGCCCCCTGCACCGCTCCGCATCCTACCATATTCAACAGACAACGCATCAAACAGTTAGCCGTCAGCCAATGCTCTGTGTATTATCCAACTAATAACAACTTAATAACAAGTTCGAATCATGTGTGCTTCCTAAGCCTCACTTGCACAAGTCCTGCATCATGTAGCCCGGCGGTGGTGGCTCGTGGATGAGTGTTGTCGGCCCCCCCATGGGCTCGCTGGCACAGCGTCCGCTTTTCGGTCCCGCTGTTGGTATCTTGCCGCACTTCAGGTCCGTAAGTATGATCTCCAAATCGAGTTGGGCTACGTCCTCAAATAGGTCATCGTTCACGGCCAAGCACGGCGCATTCACGCACGCACCCATGCAATAGGTTTCCTTAAGTGTGAACTGCATGTCCTGCGAATACATTTATTAATTTTTGACTGAATATAACAACTTATTAATCGTGACATATTTCAAGGTTTTTGAAAATGTTTCACGTTACCCACCTAAAATGTCAAAAATTAATTTGTACCTTCACATATTTTATTGTTTTGAAATTGAATCGCAAACAAATAAAGATATTTCAAAAAAAAGTTATTACTTAAAATTAGAGACACAATACTTTTAAATGTGCGATTAAAATTCCTTGATCTAGAAAATGTCACTATTGAAAAATGTCATGTAAATTATATTCAATAGCCATAACATGTACCAAGAGTATAATAACGGGAGAGTGGGGGATGCATAACGAATAATTATTCTAGCTCTGACCTCTTATAATTAAAAACAGAATGTATTTATATAAAATGAATGGTTGTTAGCTCTACATCGGAAAAAAAAACTTACTAAGCCCATCCCGCTTACGGGCTAACTGATAGTACCAATTTCAATTATTCTAGCTGTTTGACGGTCTGATAGTTGGTTAGGACATATTCTAAGTCCATAGACTTTAAACATTTAAACAGGAAGAATATGAAATGAAAAATAATCACATTTGTTAGGAGGTCCATATATATCTAAGACATATTAAGAAATGGGCTGTTAAAGGAGATGTAGATGAATTACTTCAATTTTAAAGGAGATTTAAAAATATCCTTGCACTTTCGTTAAATATCATATTAGAATATTCTAAAATATGTGTGTCATGCATCCTACCTTGGAGGTCTCGCCTGGCTTCAGATTGAGCATCGACTTGCATGTCTTTAGCAGATCATCGGATCCACGCAAATAACAGGGCGTTGTGGTGCACACGCTCACACAATACTTGCCAACCGGCTTCAGATTGAACATGGTATAGAAGGTGGCCACCTCCCAGACTGCAAAGGGATCCAGCTTAAGCATATTGGACACCTCCTTAATGGCCGTGACTGGCAGCCAGCCATACTGGCGCTGTGCGATATCGAGCAAAGCCATTAAAGCTCCGCGTTGCTCGGCTTCTGGAAAGGTGCTCATTATCATTTTGGCACGCTCCATGTTCCGCTCATTGAACTTGAACTTTTCTGGACCCTGATCGGAAGCATCTGGGGCTGCCTTCTTGCAAAGAGTGCGATTGGCCAGGATTGAGATGCGAGGCAGAGCTCGCTTGAATATTCCCAGCATGTTGATAGATTATAAATAAAGGTGTTTTATTAGAAAGTTGTCAGCTTGCCTTCCAAATACTAGAATAGAATGGAATGAAATAAATACGAGCGCCACCTCATTTGACAAAATAAGCGCCGATTGCTCCATTCAAAGCATCGCATTTCAATCTGGCATTCATTCAACCAAACCCTCTGCGCTTTGATGTTGCTTCGGCCGCCATTTTATTACCATTTATTGGCAATCAAATTTGCATTATATCAAGACTTTTGCCATGGCAACAATTGTCATACGATACAGAGCTAGGATGTAATCACGGCAACAGCTTCCCTACCTAACTGGGACTATATATAACCAAGTGGCGGCTTCTCTCGCCTCCCCATTGACGACTCAAAATTGGTCAAATTGCTCAAATTGTTCAAATTGCGTGCTACACTTAATTGGCAATATGTACGGGAACACGAGAGCAGACATCAAAGTGGTGTGAGTGCGAGTGCAACTGCAAGTAAGAGCCGTGAACATGTGGCATTCAAAGTCAATCACATTGATTGAAGCGATGCTGTTATTAACACCTGTCCGGGTTGTTTACAGCCCCCTGTCCCAGTCCCCGTTTTATTGTTCCTGGGTTAATGGCGCTGTGGCCTCAAAGTCATAAAATCGAATATGCATGTATGCACATATACTTGTACATATACATGTACGTAATAAACATCACATCATGTAATAACCGATTAGGATAATGGCTATTGAATGCATAAAGCAGGTCATAAAATAAGCACAGATATTCATTTTGTACTTAGGGCTTGGAGTGGTTTTAAACAAAACCGATTTGTTGGAAATGCCCTAAAGAAAATGTTAATTATACTTTAATATCTCACAAACAATCTACGGACAATATTATGTCAAAACTTTTAGTAAATATGTATGTTACTCGATTAGAAATCGACGTAATCGAATAGAAAAAAGAGTACCACTTCGACAACTAAGACATGATTTATTTCTCAAAAGATCATCTTTTTGTGCTTCGACTTAAATTCAGTATATTCAGCCAAACTAAGGCAGATTGAAGGCGTTTAATCCTGAGAGTATGCAAAGTAAATTTAAATACCGTTACTTAAGTTCGTCAGATTCTTGTTCCATATGAAACAGCTTGTTAATTATGGAAATAAATCCAATAAATGCACCCGGAGATGATTTCTTTTGCGTGTTACATACTTTTTACAGACCTAATATACCTTTTCTACTGTTACAGGATATACAAAAGTCTATCGAAGTACGTTAATTTGCAAGACCAAGAAATGAATAAAAATGTCAACGAATCGAATAAATATTCAACTTTAATATGGCAATAAATTTTCGGAGAAAGTTGCAGACAATACTCCACAATAGACGGGCACTTTGCTTAAGTTTTATTATTATTATTATTTTAAATATGAACAACACAAATAAATGCACCCTATAAACAAATTAACAAATACGAACAAATTTGGTTTTTATATAAACCCAGGCCTTTCATTTCCATTATTAACAATTACTTATTTTTCAAAATTAAGAAATTTACAACCTCGCAAAGTTAGCAAAAAGTTTCGCGCCTTTTTTATACCAAAACGCCTTGCAGATCGAACAACTGACTTTGAAGTGTTATCAATATTTCAATGATGCATAAAGACCAAAAATATTTATGTGTTTGTTGTTGTTAGGGTATGTGTTTTAAGAAAATAATATCAAAATAAGAATTTGTTGCTACGAAATTTTTGAATTTATGCCAAATATTATTTTGGTTAAATTGCTGTCGCAGGGAAGAGAGTGGGTACAGAGTATAGATCGAATACAGATAAGAGTCCGACTGGCATGATTTTAACATTCTACTTACCTTAAAGCTAAATACAACATTTTAAATACTGCTTGCGTAGTTTTGATTAAAATCGGACTTCATAGTGTAGTATGACCTTGATGAGTAGCTCAACCGAGATGAATTGTATTAAAATGCAATATGCGGGTATATGCAGGTAATGAACTTCACTGGTTGGCTCTGTCTTCTTGATTTTTAGTAGCCCATAACTTTCCATAGCTAAATAAGCTAAACGACTGCAATTGGCCACTAAGCACTTTCCCAAAGTCTTTTGCATGCCACATAACTTGTGCCCCACTTGTCTCGCTTTACTTGCTGGCTGTTAAAGTTTTTGGCAGCCGTTTTTGGGTTTTCAGCACTCAAAACATAATTAAGTGCTTAACAAGTTGTCATAACATGGTGGGGCACCAAAAATGTTTACGTTCATGTACTCGTACTAGGCAGGCAGCAATAAATTTTACTTTTATAACTAAATGCAAGAGTGAAGAAACTCAGAAAGACAAAATCAAGTACAAGCAGAAGCAGAAGCAGAACGAAAAGTGAAATGGGCTATGGGTTATGTTTGAGACGGAGACTAACGAGCTCAACAAGTTGCAAAGTTCTCGATGTTGACGCTGACGGCGAAGGCATAACGACTGACGAACTTCAAGCTGATGGCGAGCTGATGAAGTGGCAACCGCCAAGTGTTGGACATCAGTAGTAGTTGGCAATTCGAGCGCAAAAGTTGAAATTAAATCAAACATAAAGCGGAGCAAGGGACCCGGAGCACAAAGTCCAGTGACGAGTGGCGCGCGTTGACTTTGGAGCGGCTAACGTACTAAGCAAGCAAAGGACCAAAGGACCAACAGACCAACAGACCGACCGAGCGACCGACTGCTTCGCAATGAAATGAAACAAAATGGGACGCAAACGGTGGCAGCATGTGGATGGCGAAAGTGTTAGGAACTTTGTTATATTTTTGTTGATTTTACAAAACTGTGGCCGAGCACGCGCCCAACGGGCACATCAGCAGCAACACCAACCGCACCAACAATCGGACCAGTCATTGCAGTTGCCGCAGAGGCGTGATGGATTAGCAAAGTTCGAGTTTATTTGCGAGCAAGCGACGGCAGCGGATAAATCGGATGAGGCGGATGAGGCGGATCGGGCGGATAAAGAGGATGAGGGGACTGCCGACGGCACAGCTTTGTATGATTTTAATTTTGCGAAATTTTATGAAACTTTGTGCTCACAATTGTTGCAAAGCCAACTAGACCCGGCGGGCATTGTTGGTAATGGGCGGAGTACGCCCCAAGCACAGCTGCTCTGGAAACCGGAAGCGCAAAGGGCGCCCAGCGCACACAGGCGCCTTGTGCTTATAACGACCAAGAAACCATTTCATGTACTCGAACAATTGCAGCACGACTTAGAGGAAAAGCTGAAGAGAACGACAACGCTGAAGCCCTTTCATGTGCTCGAGCAATTGGAGTTGGATGCACAAATGTTACAGCCGCCCAAGCAAAATGCTAGCTTTGATATTGTCGAAGCTCTGGAAATGGACCATGCGGCGCATTTAAAGCAAACAACAACGATAAAGCCTTTCCATGTGATCGAGCAGCTCGACAAAGATCTATCGCACTCCTTGAACCATAGAACGACCACAATTCGCCCCTTTAACGTTATGGAGGAGTTGCATGCGGAGGCGCACCAGGAATCTTTGGCCGAGCATTTGTTGCATGCAGCGACCAGCTCCGAAGAGGGGTTCGAAATCTTGCAGCCGGTGGAGCAGCACAAGGGAGTAGAGCCTGCAGAAGCTACACGGGCAAAGGACAGTCAGAAACGAAAACGCAAGCGCATTCGGAGACGCCGCAAACGAATACGTAAGCGACGAAAGCGCAAACGTAAGCGGGGCAAGAAAAAGCGGAAGAAACGCAAAAAGCGCAAGAAGGGCGACAAGAAGAAGAAAAATAAACGCAAAAAGCAGACCCATTCAACTGTTGTGGGTCAACCAGCGCAGTTGATATTCGCCAATCCCACCAAACAGCCTTATTACTATCCCCATCATTATCCTGCACATCCTTCAACTACTGCAGCTCCCCTGACAACCAAAAAACCCGCGACAACTCACGCACCCTTTAACAAAATCAAATACATTCTTCGGCACAACAGTCTGCTGAAGAAGAAGAAAAAGGAATACCTCAGCCATGTGGGCCATGTGGTCTATCCGTTCGTCAAATTTGTCGCCTTCTTCACCGTCCTAAATCCCTTCACACTGGGCGTATTCCTCTTTAGTCTGCTTTCGCCAGTAGTCTTCGGCTTTCTAGGCTTTGTGGCGCTCAGTGTGCTTGTGAAGCCCTTCCTGCATCTTGTGTTCGGCGTCAAACGGAATGTGGATGACATTGAACGAAAGCGTTGGCGTGCAGCCAAGCGAGCCGAGCGATGGCGCTTGGGACAGCGACCCATTACCATACACAAGCATTACTATGAGCAAAGGCCGCTCCACTCAAAGCCACCCACCGTCCTCCGCCCCGTAGTGGTCAGTGACTGGCGACGACAGCAGCACAACCCGCTACTGCCGGAGCAACGCATTTCTCTGGCCAACAACAGCGATAATAAATTTCCATTTCTTTAGAATAATTTCCCTTAAAAATAAGAAAGCTTCCCAGTGGCACTTGTGTCCATATTTTAAGAAAAACTAACAATAAACAATTTGAACTGTTAGATTAGTTAGTTTTTATACCCTTCGTGTATTGTTCTGTGTTTGTTAACAGCCGTAATAAAGACTTTTAAACAACAAGGGCGTAAGCAGCTTTTTCCAAAGACAGGAAAATATTGATTGAAGGCGTTTAAACAATAATTTATGCATATGATCCATAAACAAAAAACATGAACATCAATAATCAATTAGTGGTCGACTTCATATTACGAAATTTTTTTAGGATTGGGCAACGGCCCCCCTGCGTACGCCCTTGGTAAAAAGCGTATGTATTTTAGCTACGCACATGCACAATGTTCGCTTGTCTGCTTCAATCTGTCTCGAACTGTAAAACGATCCCACAGAAATTTTGCCGTGCCGTTATGGAGAAGACATAGAAGTTCTATGATAGAACATTAAACTCCATCAAGCCCGACTTTCTTGCAGGCATATTCAGAAACAGAAGAAGAACGATACAGATGCTGCTGATTGGCAGCTATATAACTATACTACTATAAGTACATACTCGTATGTATGTATAAACAAGTACATACATATCGTAGCTATAACATAACGCCTGCATCGCCTGCTTCTGTCTGCTATATTCAAACTTTTTAATATAGTCTTTCACACTTGCTGCGAAAGGCATAAAAAGCAAGGAACACAAAGTATAAAATTAAAAATTCCCATTTTATACGACTTGTCAAAATTTTGGAGCTTTTTCCAGCTGAATCGTAGGTTCTTTCTCTGCCCAGGCATATAATGCGTACACTGCGGCGCTGGATGCTCAGTCTGAAGCTGCTCCTGCGGCAACACTGCGACACACTGGCCGTTCTCTCCCTCCTCTGTCTGATGGGCGTGGTGGTGCTGGACTTTAGGCATGTGGCGGCCCGCTGTGAGTTAAGCCATTGGTGCCAGCTATTGGTGCGCATAGAGGGAGTGCCCATGCTTCTGGTGGTGCTGGCGGGGAGTCTGAAGTTGCTGCTCTTATTGGGCATGCTGGTGTGGAGATTTGTTTACATAAAACCGCAAAAACTTTCAATGATTGGAGTCAAGCAGCGCTATAGGCGCTTCATATTAATGCGTCTGCTATCTGCGCTGGATCAGCTACTCGAGATGCGAGTACAGCGCTCTCCGAGATCGAGGCAGCGCAGCTATGAGTTTCTGCGCCGTCGGGAGACGCTCATAGGGGCCATCGAGCTGTTCCGGTGCGACGCTCGCAGGATCTTCGAACGCACAGACGAGCAATTGTGTCTGTCTCTCGAGCATGTCCTGCTCATTGACATGCAGCAGGAGCAGTGGCTGCTGCAACAGGGATATGGCAAGCGGCTGTCGCAGCTCAACGATTCAGACATTTATAAATTGCTATTCGATAGAGAGAAAACTTCAATGAGCGCGTGATGTAAGGTATAACATTTTCCGAACAATGAGTAAAACAAAATTTAATACATACTCGTATACTTGTAGTAAGTATGTGTGAGGTTATGGAGGGGAAAAGGCAATAAAATACATACTATACATACCTAATATTAATAACAATGGCAAACATGCGGCTTCGTAGAAGGACCAGGGGAGAGGGCGGTTGTAGGCTGTTGCATGAACCGCAACCAAGGCAACAATAGCAGCACAACAACAACCATAACTTCAACATAAATGTGTAGCACAACATTTACAAAACTTTTTAATTAGGTTTTACAACAACCAATCTTTCCTGCCTCCATTCATTGTTGTTGCTGATTTTATTGTTTCTGTTAATTTTCTCTTTGCCAACAAGGTAATTTTAATTCCACTCACGCACGCACACATGAAAACGCCTAAACATTGTCAAATTTAAATCAAATCGTGTCGCCAACTAATAATATTAAAGCCAAATTATGCTTTCATAAATCATTTATACACTGAATAATCTGCCAATTTCCAACTTTGAGTCAAAACTGATGGTCTGATATTATTATTATTGGAATTGTTTCTTGCACGAACGCAAGTTCTCGTATGTTTAATAATTTAGTTAAATATGCATAGGAAAATTCAATTTCGCAGTATCTAGGATTATGCAATATACCAGCATAATACATAGATAAATACATAGTTTTCAATTGCCTATTAAGGTAATATGAATAAAGTCCTACTACCCTTTAATTAACTCTGAAACAGAGTAGAGCAGAATTGAACAATATTCCTAGCACTTCTTTACTTCACTTTCTTTATCTATAGCTTTATGATAAGCAAAGACTATCGGGCTAAGACCTAAAACACTGTTTGTCCCAGGTGGCTAAGATTTTTTCCTTTCAAACCAATATGTTCTTTTGCTAAAGTTTCCGGTTACTCATTGCTATTCTGCTCAGCCTTTTTCCTCCATAAAACAAAATATGAAAGGTGGCACACATTTACTCAATTTTATTAAAAAGAAATAATTAAAAGAAATGCGAAGTAACGGCACCAGCTTCAGCATTGGGATTTGCAAACAAGAAGGATGTGCTTGCAAGACTTTAAAAAATAACTAAAGAGCATATGTGACGCACATTGATAGGTTAAATTTGTTGAATACCTTTGTTGAATTTGCTTATTTGTTTTTTATTTTTATTTGGTTATCAGCAACTAGGAACTATTTTGCATATACGAGTAATTTTAAAATAAACCTAATGTACATAGTACAATTCAATAATAATTAGAACACACAAAAGTTTACAATACATTTTCTCTAAATTATTTATCCCAATAATTGTTGAATTACTAAATTATAAATTAGCATCTCTTAAATATTTATCAATAATAGAAAATAAGCGGCAACATACTCTGCTTTTGCACATCTTTTCGAGTTGTCTACTCATTCCTATCGGTCTTGTCTTTATTATGAGATTTGCAATTTAACCTGTTGCTGGCTCCACAAAGTTTAGCTAGTTGAACATATTATTTTATGGACATGAACAAATTACAATTGGTCCTCTAGGTAGTGATTTATGCTCACTCCTAAAAAGTATGTATAAATAACATTTTTCCATATTTCCATATTTCCATTTCGTCTCAAGCATAGAATGACATTCAATGCTGACATTCACTTTCAATTTGTTTTTCTATTTGAAGCTGAATGCAGAAGCAAAGTTGTATATAAATATGTACGAGTATATGAACGTTTATTTGCCGTTTACTCTATTTTTTAGGCTAATTAATAGTTGAAGCTATGATAGAAGTTGTTTTGATAACGTTCTAGTTACCATTACTCTCATTGCTTGCATTTTGTTAACACAATTCAGAGCCAATATCAATTGCGCCTTTGCAATTTGCCAAAGATTTTTACTCTCTATTTCTATCTTTTTTGCTAACCATAATGGAATTGCCTTGGGAACGTCATTTTGTGCGCTCAAAACAAGTTGATTTGCCTTTCTTGGTAAGTACGTTTGTGTGCATTGATGGAAATATGAGAAAATATGCGACTGGGAGAATGAGCTCTCTCCCACCCGTGGTCCCTCTTCTGTCCCTCTATCCTGCTTGCGTCTCGCCTGTAGCCAGTCAATGCCACACAATATGGCGAGGCAACAAATAGTAATAATAAATAAAATTGTAGCCAATTCATAAGGATTTTGCTGCTTCAATCAGACAGGAGCAGGGAGCAAGAGAGTAGTGTGCGACGGTGGCAAGTTTGGTGCAGAGTGCGCATCGTGCAAACAACATTCATTCACTCAGTCATTCACTCCGTCAGTCATTCATTCATATTTGCCAAGTGCTGTTGCTGCCGTTGAGAGAACAATGTGCGTATAAATAACGGATTTCCTGTTATAAAATATTTGTAACGACATTTTATATGTGTATGCCGATTTACACATACTTGTGAGTGGGTGTGCGTGCATATATATATATATATATATATATATATACCCGTACATATTTATATATGAATGTATGTCTTGCATCCTGACAGCTTCGCATATTCCGCAACCAAGGCCACCCACTCCCATACTACTCTCCCAATCATTCGGATGCAATGGCAGCTATATAACATCTTTGTATTGCAGCTGTCAATGCAGCAACAAATTTCATTTTGTTTAATGGCAAATGCTTGCAAGGCAGTGCATTTATTTGTCAGTATGTGTATGTGTATGTATGTGTGTGTATTGTCTGTGTGCTCATGGCCTAAGCATAAATCACCAATACACACATATGCATGTAAGCAAGCGAGCAAAGGTCAAGCAGCTGCAAACAATTGCACTGCAATTGCAATTTCTTGAGCAATTACATTCAGAGGAAAAGTCAATAATTGAAGACATAAGGAGACACTCAAGGTGTGGCTGCGGTTAATGCAAACACTATGTGACTTATCAATGAAAAGCAGCCAAAGCAGCATAATTAAAAGGTAAACTCCAAATTTGCAGTGCCACAAATGAAAATGATTACTTAATAATAGTTCCCAATTTAACTCAATATAATAATAATAATGGCCCAATGCATGAAATGTTTGTGCTCCATGAGTATAGCATCATAAATTGAGCCACAAACACATATACAATGATAACCAAAATGCACACATGGCGTATGAGCAATATATTTTTAATTATCACACATAGCACATAGAATTGGAAATACATATCAGAAATGGCAGCGTGATATTCTTAATTGGCACGTAAGTCGTGATTCGCAAATCTGTATGATAATCACATGACTATTCTTATAATCGTTTTATTTGCCGGTGGAAGTCAAAAGATTTTTATCCAGATCTCGATCCAGATTTTGATTAAAATCTCCACAATACAAAGCTTTAACTAAACAACATCATATTCACCAGAGAAATCCCTTTTCTTTTTGTGAATTCAATAATTTATCTGTTCTAAAAATATATTCTAGTAGTGTACAGAACTGAAATGAAATACTTTTATAAAGTGTTACAAATCTTTCATCTTTCCTTTTAATCGATTATTTACTTAATCATATTAACACAATATTTTTATATATTATGGAAAAAAAATATGGAAAATTGTATATTGCGCAAAGTCTTGACCAAAGGGCTTGATTTTTAAATAAACCACTTTGGATTTCTTTACTTTGAACATGTAATTAGTTTAATTCCCAAATCAAGTCCCAGGTACCACAACTTTATAAAGCCATAAATATACAAAAATATAGATATGAGATATATGAGCTTTTTTTTTAAAGCCGCTTAATGCACAAGACATTTTTATAGCCATTATTAAAAGTAATGTTTACCTAGTGACCAATCAACATTCAATTACCTTTGCACAGCTTTGCCCCATAAAGGACACGCTGAAATGGACGCTCTTCTCTAGATCAAAAATTTGGCACGCCCAAAAACCTAAAAACCCTAAACAAAACAACATTTCCATGATTGTGCCAAAATACATAACACTGACATAATTCCAATAAAAACTGACACGCAAACAGAACTTGTGAGCAAAAAAGAATCATAGAAAACAAGCAAACAAGGAGAAACCTGTGCCTCTGCCTGCTCTTTGGGCGCTGGATAAGCAAAATGCAAAACAACGAGAAGAAATCCTAAAAATTCATATACTATGAAGCACACCGTCAAACCCACATATGAACACAAATTGTATATGTGCTATTTAATTTTGAGCACACAGCGCCCGAAAGTATGCACCTGGGAACGTGCAAGGATACGTAGCACACCTACACACACACACACACACACACAAGTGCAGAAACAGACGCTGTCATATCAAAGACCAAAAAGGCGTTGAAGCACAACAAATTCAATTCAACTACTGTTGCTTTGGCTATCGTTGTGGTTGTTGTTTTTGTTGCTCTTGTTTTTATTTCTGTTTGATAAAAGGATGGTAGCCCGACCAAAACGAACTGAAGTGAAGTGAAGTGGCCCAAAAGTAGTCGCAGGACAGCAAAAGCGGCAAAGGCAACCCAAATAATATTAATATGCAAATTGAGTTTTTTAGTTGAGTGATCTAAGCGGATAACTGTGGCACACGCAGCTGGGCAAGCTGGAGAGCTGGAGGTCGCTTTGGGAGCCAAGCAGGCATCCATCCTTTGTCGTAATGCGAGCACTTTGCTTTATTGATTGCCAACTTGTGTTCGAGAAAGGCGTGCAAGGCGCGCACACGGCAAGTAAATGGCGAATTATATATATTACACGATTGCTATTGGGATGCGACTGCCATGAAATCAATTCAAATCATATTTTATTAAACGTTTACGAGGCCATTTACCACACAGTCAATGCCATCGGCACAAGCGATATAAACTCTATGTACATGTATATGTCTAAACACAAATATACGGGTACATGTATAAAGGCATGAGCATAAGAAAGTGCGTCAGTGTGCTCGGGGGTGCGTTAGTGTGTGGGTTGGCCAAATCAATATACAACATAAATCGGATTGCACTACCAAAAAAAAGGCAAAGATCTAAAAAAAAAAAACATACAAAAATATTTACAAGATACTTTTGCTGAAAAGCGAAATGTTGAAGCC